TTATCATAGAGAAATTTATGTCTCACTCGTGGTGTTAAACATTACCATTTCAAAATATGATCTATCATGCAATGCACAAGCATTACCCATAAGCACAAATGAAATAAAGAGGCGAAGCCTCTTAGCTATTTTAAACTCTAGTTTAATATTTAAAAAGCATGCTGTTCAACCGCAGTAATTGTGTAGTAGTATAATTGTGGCTACCTAACAAAGATGTATTGGGAAGTGAACGTACAAATAAGTATTATTCGATACAGTGTTCATTGAATTGTCGTTTAATGTTGATAGAGATGAATAACACCTCCCACAAGGGGGGGTAAATGGTAATTCGAGCCGTTTGTTGCATAATAATAAACAAAAGATCAAAAAAGCTGTAAATGGTAATTCGATCATACTCGATATGTTTGTGAATGCAACTATATAACAAAGAAGATCCCGAAAAAGCCGTAAATGGTAATTCGATCTATAATTGATGTTATTAGTGGTATTGCCTATTTTAAACTATTGCATACTCAGATAGTTAAAAATAGAGTTTATAATTCTAAACTGCACTTTGAGTGCTGTGTTAATATCCAATGCCGACGACGCCGACGACGACTGTTTAATGCTGTTAAGGAATTTGAAAGCAGATTGAAATTGTGTTGCAAGTTGGGCATCTGACATTGTATTCTGTCAACACGCTAACTTGAGAAAACGCTAATACTAAGGCGAGAATTATTATAACTTATTTATAAATTCTTTAAAACAATATTAATATAAGACTTATTATCAAACTAGACAATACGTCACAACAATGACTCGGAACGCGCTGTTAAAACTCAAATTTATTTATGCTTTAATAATTTATTTCAATATAAATAAAAAACATAGGTAATGTTAGAAGCAAGCTTTTATTTTACGCTTCTCGAATATATAAATCAAGCGAGTTAGCCAACACGTTCCAAACGTTTTCGGCAAGCTGGTAGTCACTTTCGACAACTAAGCCCTCATTAATTTCGCCTGATAGGAATTTATCTTGCATTTTGCATTTTTCTAGTAGACTGGTAATAGTTTGCCAAAAAAGAACAAAATGTTTCAAAAGTGTAAAAGAAGTTGCTACAACATACTTCAGTCGAGTGCATTCGGCTTGCGCGTTCTCAACATTTTGTTGTTGTTGTTTGAGGTTTGAGAGACTTTTTTTCTTATCATCGAGTTGCTGTTGAAGATCTAAAATAATTTATGAAGTAAAGTGAATACAACTATATTGTTTCTAAAAATTATAATAGAAATTATTTTTTACCGTTTTTCACAGAAATCAAAGCAGCAATAGCTGAAGAACAACCAATTACGCCCCCAATGGCAATGGCTGCAGCAATACAAAACAAAGGATTGACAAAGCCTAAAACTCCGGCCCCAAATGCAACGAATAATGAACCGTTGAGCCATTTATCAGCAAGATTTGTTATTTTAGCAGTCAAATCGGTGATTTGGCCTTGAAGTTGTTGTATTTCTGCTTCGGTAGCTGTGATTGCTTTAGCAACACTTCGATTTTGTTCCTCGGCCCACGTCCCAAATTGCGATTGAAATATTGCGAAGGCAGTTTCATGTGATACAATTTTCTTGGACAAATCTTCTGTTTCGCATTGTCTTTGTTTGATATACTGATTAAGATAGCGGATTAATAATTGATTATTGCAATAAAAAGGTTGCTTAAAAGACGTACATCAAGGGTCAAGTCTATAAGTTTAATTTTCTGTTCCTTAGTATGGCCGTCGGAAGCCAGATATGGAAGAAGCACCGTAACATGGCGTTTGGCATATTCAGATATGTTCGCAGCTTCTGTTTTCGACTGCGTGATTAGATCTGTAAAGGCTAACCATAACCGTTTCCATTGAGGAGCCCAGGTTGTCTGGCCCCCGATTTTAGAACTATCAACTGAAAGGAGTTCAGTATAAACTTCTTTATACAATTCTTCAACAAGTTTAAAGTCATTAGTAAGATTTTTGATATCTTGATCAAAGGCTTCCTGGAAATTTTCTTTCTTGGGAGGGTTTTTCGCAATATGTATGCTTGCTTGCTGAATTTGTTCAGGAGTAATTTTGTCAATGACTCCAATAGCTTCTTCTAGGGATAAGGACCCATTGTTTGCTGAAATAAAATCGTCCAAGGCCTTGACATTTGTTTTTTGCAACATATTTCAGAAATTTATTAAAAGATCGAAGGGTGAAGGAAAGGGTATGAAGAAAGATTGCACTTTATAAACTAAAAAACCGGCCCGTGACTATCAGCGAAAAATGAGCACACCATGCAAAAACCATATGTATTTACACAGGAAGCGGGTCGGGTATGTATCAACAAGGATCGCTAATGCCTTATTTAGGTTTATCTTTTTTTTCTGTGACAAAGTTTGATTGTTACTACCTTATTTGAACAAACCCGTCCCGTGGTGATGAATTATCCACTTCTGGATTGGGAATTGACCCGCCCCAAATGTCGTGGTTGTGTCATGTAACTTAAATGGTCAGGATTGTTCTTAGACGTCAAAAATGTATGGCCAAGGGCTGAGAATCAATTCCAAGATGAGTTCGGGCCGCAAATTTTATTTATGTTAATTCGATAATCTGCTGCTGTGGTTTCTGTAGTTCCGAGACTTCCTCATGTGATTCACAATACAGCACTGCGAAATGAGTTACCTGATCTTTTACTACGGGTTATAAAAGTTCTTCTATCACTTCTTTCAACCACCTGGGCTGACAGCAGTAGGCAGCAGTAGGCAGTTAGCTCTTGTTAAGACAAGAGCGGATGCTTTACGGGCTCAAACAGTGACTGAGGCTGCAACCACTCAGTATAGTGGAGGTGAATAGTCTGAAAAACGAGGTATTGAGAGAGCCACATCAACTGTGTCAAAAGGTAATAGTTCCTTTTTTATATCGGTTTAGCCGATCGAATTGGAAATTGCAAATACAAATTTGGTAATACTAGCCGTCTGAAGGTAATAGTTCCTTTTCTACCATTGGGTGGTCTAAACGTAAAATTAGCCACTCGCTAAAACGGCAATATATCTCTATTATAAGCTGGAATTTTGTTTTTTTATTAATTTCGGGACTTATGTTTGCTCTAGTTAAATTTCAATATTCGCAAAAATCGCGATTATCAAAATAGATACAGAGTGGGACAATTGTATTTTAAATTTAATCGGTAAGATCTATTGAGTAACGTAACCATGATCTACCTTTCCACTTGTCATACCTTACCTTAACTTAAAAATTGTGCAACATCCTCAACGATTTGAGTTGTATTTAACTATCAGAGAATATGTCAGGTGAGGCAATACAGAAAAAGTAACGTATAATTGAAACTGGGTTTAGGTAAATAACATTAGCAGAAGGAATATATTTACAAGAAATATATTTACAAGAAATATATTTACAAGAAATATATTTACAATCACTCGTGTATCTCTTTTTTTCCTTCGAACGTTCTATGCACCTGAACAAAAATTTATGATTGGCACATCAAAATGTAACAGCGCACATGCACGGTAGCCTTCTCCCCGTTACCTTATATTATCGGATAATCGAACAGAAAAAAAAATTTTCTTAAGAGACTAAGATGGCTTTATGTTTATCAAATTAACTGTCTAATCAAATGCAGTGACAAGCAGGCAGGCAAGTACGCTATATCGTTACGTTAATGTAGTACCCAAAACAAAAAGCGCATTATTACCACAGGTTATACAAGTGTTTGCGCAAACTTTGGTTAGTTTAATTAGATAGATGATACCTTATAGATATGCCAATGATTGTTTCCGTGTGCAAACAAATGAACAAAATATAAAAAAATCAAGTTATCAGAGGGTTAAAGACTTACGAATCTTTCGATTCGCACAAATTACGATTTCCGTCTTCATTTACACGTAAAAAAGTTTTAGTTTTTTTTTAGCAAAATGTATTTCTTCAAGAATATCTTGATTTTTTTTACTTTTTTTTGTGCTCTTTCGACCGTCAGAGCATATATGAAGATGCAATTTCCAACTCCTCGAGGACCAAATGAAGGAACTACCCTTTATCAAGCTCCGTGTGCCTCTTACGATAGTGTTAACGCTTCTGCCATCTCAACCTTTCCTCTGAGTAAGCTTATTCTTTACAAAGTTGTTCCATTGCGTGCAATAATATAACTTTTTCCCTAATTTATTAATACGGTTTGTATAACTGAATGTTTGATAGATGGAGAAACAATTATGCTGTTCTCTCATGGTGACGGAAGTTTAGTTTATTATTATGCCCCCAACAGTAGCGCCACATTTACCAAAGTTTCCGGTAAGCAATCGTTGTGTTTGTGTTTACGTATACATACGTACATGGCATACATGTAATATACAGTATTTTTGTAAATTAATTCTTTGCGCACATCTGCCCTCCCCCCCCCCCCAGCTACGACATCCCTATCGTCATTCTCTATATACAATACTACAAAACAAAAGTAGTAAATAAATATAATATAAC